TATGGCGTCGGATATCACCAAGCCAGTGTCAGGTTGCACAGGACGCCATAGATTTCGGACCAAAAGGACAGGTCAACGACTCGCCATGGAGATTGTCTCATGCTCTGCACCTACAAAGCCAGGAAAGTCTCCACCAACGCCAATCTTCACGCCTCTCGAAGCTGCAGGGCGCATCAACTACCACGTAATCGCGTTGCAGGAAAAGAAGTCCAGAAAGACGGACGTGAGGCAGCTGAGTGATGGCACACTCATCATTCGTGGTGAAATGGTTCCATCGCGGAACGTTGGAGCCATTGGATTTGTCGTACACCCATCTGTTGTCCATATTGGCGATTCGCATGAGATCCTATTACCTCGCTTGGCTATCCTTCGACTCTGTCTTCTGCATCAGAAAATCACTATCATCAACTGCTATTCCCCAACAGCAGCAGCTGATGGTTCGGAACTTGATGCTTTTTATGAGGATTTGGAGTACATCCGCAAAGAAAAATCCTTCTATAATTTCGTCGTGGGTGACTTCAATGCGAAAATTGGGATACCAGAGGAAAGGGAGCACAGGATCGGACTTGGATTGGGACTCCGGAATGAGTATGGTAACCGTCTGGGCTCTTATTCGCCGCACGACTTTTTCATGGCAACTCCATTTTCATGAAAGAACACTGGCGGTGGACATGGGAGTCACCCAACAGTACGACTCATGAAGAGATTCACCACATTCTCACCAACCGGTGCTTACTGGATGTTTCACTGATACAATTCAGTAGTAGCTCAGATCACCGCCCCCTTCGAGCAAAAGTGCGATTCAGCCGAAAGCTGAAAAAGAAGATCTGCCATCGTGTTCGAGGAAGGAGAGAAGTCGCACATGACGGCGTCAGATTGGAGGAGCTCCTGACCACTTGTGACTGGTCCATCGAGGAGGACCCGACGAAAGATTACGACCTGCTTCTTAGAGGACTGAGAACCTGTGATGAAAGCGCCTCAATGCCTCGCACAAGGAACTTGGAACGGATTTCGAAAGCCACCGAAGATTGCTGGAGAGGAGAAGAGCACTGAGGCTGGATCCGACTGCAACACATCTCGAGCGACTGGTAGCCAATACCAGTTGCAGAACAGCTTGCAAAAAGATCTTTGAAAGTACAGTCAATCAAAATTCTTGTAAGCAGCACAGGAAGGAGAAGTTTAAAGAAGTACCGCAGGGACCTTCTCGACTATCGTGTTCCGCTGACAACACTATTAAACGAAGACGAGACTCGCACATCTTCCCGACAAGAGATGGAATCGCTTACGATGAGATTCTACGCCAATCTCTTCTGCTCGTCAACACTAGTGTCAAACCCCGTTATTCTCACTGGAGAAATACCACCACGGATTGTACCTGCTGAAGTACGCGCCGCA